TGGCCATGTCTCGCTCACAGCCAAAAGGGAAAACGGAGCTGACTGCTGAGCAGTACATACGTCCTACATTCGACACAGCCAACAGGATATCACGTCTGCTAAGCCAGAAATGGTGTAAGTTGGTGGGCGTATGCACAGCGAGCCTTCTGTTTCCCTGCTGAGATCTCATCAGCGATCAACCCACTGGCGCGTTGGCTGATGCAACTCCCCAAATAAGTGAAGTGGTCAAACCGCTCAAAGTACCACTTCACTCCCTATTTTTAAGCTAGATTTTTTCCGCATGTTCAAAAAACTATGGTTGTTTTGGCTAGTCAGTCGTGACAGATGAATTACACCAGCTGCGTTGCAACTCAATCTATTTAAGCCGCATAAACAGCTTAACAATCAGCTCTTACCGAAGTTGTTATATAGTTATTACAAAGTTGGACATCACGTAGATTTCCATGTGCACACCGTGAATGTGAATAGGTGTTCGTCTTATTGTCTCTCTTCTGACACTCTTCATTCAAACAGAAACAATAGTAAACCGTTATTTTCTTCAACCTTTTTAATTAAAATTTGATAAATTTAAACTATGATAATTAACAATGTAGATAACTGAGTTGCCTAAAAGTCACTAATCTGTAATTGACATTACTCTCCATATGATATTTTGGAATAGAATTATATTCTGCAAGTGATTTTATATGACGCTTACCATACAAACTCTGTTATAAGAGTTTAAATTTGGTAGTATCTGACTGACTAACTTTCAGATTGTTAATCAATGCACACCTTTGAGTTGACCAAAAAGTGACTCATTTCGTTTTCTACAAGTACTGCTCTGAGATTTGCTATGGTAGGCTACAGATGCATATTTGCATTTAACAACTAGAACATACATTCATTCAGTACGTGTACCCACTGGGTTTCGAACCCAGGATCTTCCTGTAACAAGGCAAGCTCGTAGACCATTCAGTCAATGGGACGCGACTCAATGGCCTTCCCATGAATTCAAACTTCTAACCGGGTGGGTATTCCCGAGTATTCCTCCGTGGATTTCAATGATTCTCTCCATCTGTCAATCCGTGGGCAAACTTGAAACAAAATAAATCCTTACAAACAAAGGCTTGAAGTTTGCACTGTGAACGTATAGAACGTCAGATTGGGACGTAACCGGCAAAGAGACAGTCAGATTGCAGAAGAGACAAGTCATGTGGGAAAAATTGGAAAAGAACAGAAGGGAGTACAGCACTTTGAGGGACACCGGCTTCAGTAAGCAAGGCAGAGTAAGATTTGCCTTAATGGTACCTAAAGGTACAAATATACCTGCCATCTGATGAATTGAAAACGACAAAAAAAAACTGAATATTAACAACTATCCCCTAATGAGAATTCCGGCATTATAGTAAAATATAATTCCATATTAGACAAGTTTATTATGATATAACACGCAGTGACACACAGTATCAATAACTGGATATTATTCTGTGGAGTTGTTCTCCTAAACAAAGTCTACTGAACTGTTTTCTTCAGTTGCTTTCACCTTGTCTGGAGTAGTTAGAATATGTAAACGATGACATTTACGCATGATTCCACTTTTTAAGCATTAAATGGTAAAAATACAATGATTTGTCAGTTGTTTCTAGTCGGATTTCCGAACATCATCCTGCGATGTTGGTTAAGTAAAGGAGAAACAAAATCTATTCGTAGCACTATTCTATCTCACTCATCTTGTGGATACAGAACACAAGATTGATTGATGTCAACTAGGCGGCTTTCAAAGTCATTTACCGCATACCAACCGACAAATCTTAACTTCGCCCTAAGAGTTCGTTTACTACATATTGCTGAGATTGGCTGTTGGGATCCACATTAAGAAGCCTAACTTATGTGTCCAAAAGAAGCTAGTTGGTTCAGACAGTGTCCTTACCCACTTGGCCATCGAGGTTCGAATGATCCTCAAATTTGTTGTGGAAATTTCCTTAATTTTAGTTGATATTCTATTTCCTATTACATTTTTATGCTTATTATAATTTAGGCATCTTTAGTGAACTGTAATTCCATTCATCTTACTTAATAAATCGATATTATCTAAAAAACACCAGTATTGTTATTGACTACTATTCTAGGAAATTCTATGTACAAATATACACATATATAATTGTAGAGCCAAAAGAGGAAATTATCAAAAAGTATATTCTTTGCTCAATCATTTTGTTTTTTTATAATTGTACTGCTGTCTGTGATAATAATGTGAGTTGATAATGTATTACAGATTGTTATATCAGATTAACTGATTTAATTATGGAATAACATCCTAATGAGAGAAAAAAAGTATTAAACCCTGACACACAATGATCAATGGTAGTACGTTTTGCATTCCTTTGGTTTCTTAGTGGAAGATAGGGCTTCAGTCTCGACAGTTTCGGTAGCACTGATGTTATCTCCACGGGTTGGGGTTAGACAACACTTTCTGTCTTTAATAAATTTACTCCCGGCTAAGATGCAAGGTTTAGGAGTGCGTCGACCGACAATCGAACCCAGATCACAGGCATGGCTAGCAAGCAGACATCCTGCCACCTACACATATGTTAGCATTAAAACAACCACACTAAAAAGCCCAAATCTCATCGCAAAAATTATCAGTTTATCAGAATACAAATTAAGAGAATAGGATGACAGTCGGTGGCATAGCGGTTAGGACGCTCGCCGACCATGCACATGGTCCGGGGTTCATTTCCGGGCCGACTCAATCCTTTACCTAGCTGAGCAAATATTGAAAAAAGGCTGATAAAGAGGAAAGGTTGGGCATGAGGCTAGCAACCCCATCCTGTAAAAATAAACACTGCTACGGTCGGTCGGTCGGTTTTCGACATAAAACTTTGCACATATGTGCGGCAGTTCAAGTCACCACATTCCATGTGCCACAAAAAGCAAGAGAAGAAAGTAGAAGAAATGCATAATAAAGACAGTAAAGATAGGTGTGAGACAAAGGTATAGTAATAACGAAGAACAATATAGTTTCATTGGAAATCATAAGTCACAAGGAGTGGATGCATCTGCACTAGCCATTGAGAACGATTTTGAGCCATGTCACCAATTGTTTCCAACCATTGGATTTTACCGTCCCGAGGACCCCAACCAGGAAGTCTACACCTTCCTACGTGGCTTAGACTAACTGTTGTAGATTTCATTGACTGGTGCCATGTTTTGGTTTGACCGCCACTAGCTCTTTTCCAGCCTGACCCTATATCAGCTAACATTGCCCATTGTCGAGGAAGGCGATGACTAGGCATGTGTAACACATGTCCTAACCATCTCAGTCGGTGTAATTTCACAGCCTCGTTGATTGATTTTTCCTCTTTACCTAGCACTAGACTGATGCCTCACCTCAACATTGCTAACCTTATTATACCACTTCACGCGGGAGATGGAACGCAGACACCTATGATCGATCACAGATAATCTTTTCATGTCTTCTGCTCTCAATGGCCAGGTCTCACAGCCATAAAGGAGAACGGAGCGGACTGTTGAGCAGTACACATGCCCTTTGGTCGATAGTCGGATATCACGTCTACACCAGAGACGGCGTAAACTGGCATATGTGAAACTAGCCTTCTGTATTCGTGCTGAGATTTCGTCAGAGATTAACCCGTTGGCTCTGGCTGATGGTACTTCCCCAGTAAGTGAAGCGGTCAACGTGCTCTACCACTTCACTTCCTATTTCTAATCTAGGGATCGGTGTAGTCCAATTCTGTAGCATCATCTTAGATTTTACAGGGGTGAATCGCATGCCAAACATACGAAGATTGTTGTTCAAGGTGTTCAGTAGACTGCATTTTTTCAGCGTCCACCCCTAGAAAGACCAAATCGTCTGCATATTCTAAGTCGACGAGATTATTCCCTGGTAGCAAGTCAATCGCTGAGTCTCTGAAGTGTGTTAGGGTTAAGTCCATGATGAAGTTGAATAGGAATGAGGATAATGGGCATCCTTGACGGACGCCACTAGTCGTCACCACTTCAGATGACAACTCGCCATAAGCCCTCACCTGGCTGCATGAGTACGAGTAGAGTGTCTTAATCAGTGCAATGTATTTTCTCGGCATTACCTTTACAGCCAAGCACCGCCAGAGAACCTCTCGGTCGACAGAACCAACTGCCGCCTTTAGGTCAAGAAATATAATGATTGTCGGACGCCGGTAGGAATGCCTACGTTCTAGAATCTGTCGGAGGGTGAAGGTATGATGAATACACCCTCTTCCTAGCCTAAAGCCTACCTGGTTTTCTCGTGTTTGTGCCTCCCGAGCACCACTTAGTCTATGCAATATTATTGGGCCTAGGACTTTAGATACTATATTAGTCAAGCTAATCCCTCTGTGATTATCACAGGACGACTTGTCTCCCTTCTTGTATATCGGGATGATCAGTGACTTGCACCAACCCGACGGGACTTCCTCTGATTCCCAGACGCTGCCTACAACCTCAGTTAACGCAGACAGTAAACTCTCTCCACCGTACTTAAATACCTCTGGAGTCAATCCATCAGGTCCCGCTGCTTTGCCTTGTTTCAGATTAGTGGCTGCTTAAGAAACCTCAGTTAAGGACGGAGGACCTGTGTCTACATCCCATTCAGGGAGGTGTTGGATGTCCGGAAGGTTAAGTGTGGCTGTGGGCCAATTAAACTGCTCCTCATAGTGTTCTTTCCAGCGCTCCAGACGTCTATCCTGGGAGCTAATTATGGTGCCATTTTTCTCAGAGAATTTTTCGCTTATCGTTTGCCTTTTACCAACTGTTTCCCTGATAAGCCTGAATAGTTTCCTGGTGTTGCCACTGCTGGAGAAACTTCAAGCCTCTAGCTTGAAGCCCTATGTTCCACTGGGAACGTGTAGGAAAAAAAACGGATGACAGTTACATAACCGGACGAAATAGGTGGATAACTTGATAGTTCAGCACTCTTGTGAATACATGAAAAAAAGAAAAGAAAAGAAAACAACAACAATCATAAAGCTAAGTGAAATTCACTTACCAGTTAATATAGGATTACCATCAACATAAACAGCATGTGATGAAAAATTAGCTAACCAAAATATTCCATCATCGGCCAAGCGTATTTGACCATGACAACGTGATACACGTGCACTATCACCTTCATATGATAAATCAATATACGGTTGATAAAGCAACGAACTACGACCAAATATAACCTAATGATAATAAAATAGTGAAGTAGAAATGATGAAATATTAGATCTGAGAGAAAATACAAACAATCTGTCGATAATGAAAATACAAAACAACAACAAAAAAGTAAATAAATAGAATATTTCTCATTGAGTTGATCAGTTGCAGAGATGTTTGTTTAATCGCAGACTGATAGTAAAACAGAGAGTCTCAAACTGGAGGACGAAACACCTGTCCAGTACTCCCTGCAGGTTTCCCAATGGTTCTCTAACTAATGTCAGCTCATAATGAAATCCTGTAACCAGTCAATCAAATCCCCACAAACCAATACTTGAATATCGATGAGATGCTCACTGGCGACTGACCCTATTCAGGTAGGTAGTTACTTGGGGTTCTAGCGGGAAGTCGTGACTAGTAGGGTGCAGCAGGTTGGGTGTGAGGACAAATACTCACCGAAGACATAGGCTAGCGATTGCGCTGTGTCGCAGAAGTTAGAATTCATGGGCCATTGGATCGGGTCCCAGTGGCTTAATGGTCTACGAGCTTCCTGGCCTTGTAACCAGAAGGTCCTGGGTTCGAACCCTGTCGGAGGGTGCGTACTGCTAGAGAGTCCCAAACTAGGCAGATGAAACAGCTGTCCAGTACTCCCAGTTGGATTTCCAATGGTTCTCTAACCAATGTCAGTTCATGATGAAATCCTCCAGCCAATCAAACAAAATGCTTACAAAACCAGTACTTGAATAAATACAGAGTTAGGCTTGAATCCCTATGAAGTTTAAAACATCTCGGTAGTGCATATCTATGGTAACTAGTTAGTTGTTTTTTTTTATGGAAGACTATCTTGAAAATGATTACAGCTGACTAAAGTTAGCAAAATAGAGTGACAACTACTGATAATCTTTAAGAACTAATATTTAGTGCACTAGAAAAGAAAAGATTCTATGCACTAGTTTCATCGCATTTGCCAAAGCCACCTCGGTGATTATCAACTTATCGTGATAAGAAAGGCGAGTGTGAAAGACAAAAATTCACATTTTCAACATCAATTTTAAGGCATTTCTTCTATGTGGTTCGTAAACTTAGTGTATCACGAAGAAGATTTCTAGCAGCCTGCTGCAGACTTTTATCAACAGCTGCCAACTTTGCTGGTTTCATAATGAAGATAAGATGGTCGGTCAGAAAGATTTGGTTACAAGACACTCTGGAAATGAAACAGCCAACAACCTATTGCCCCCAAAAAGTGGAGATGGATCGGGTACGCGCTACTGAGGAGAAGATCGAATAAAATAGTGCGTCAGGCCTTCAAGTGGAATCTTAATGAGAAATGACAAGCCGGACCTGGGTTCGAGGGTGACATGGAGGAGATTGTGTGAGGAGGAGATGAGAGACTATGGGCAACCGTGGGGCTAGCTGAGGATTCATTTTATTGTATTTATTGTTCCCCTGGGATCCTAGTGGAACATAGGGCTTCAACTGCACGTCTCCACTTGCTTCTGTCTTCTGCTGTACTTTTCATGTTAGTCCATACTGTTTCAGCTCCTCTTCACACGATCTCCTCCATGTCACCCTTGGACGTCCCACTCGCCGCTTACCTTTCGGGTTCCATACAAGTGTTGGCCTGACGCGCGATGTCACCCAGCGGCCTCCTCAGCGAGTGTCCAATCCATCTCCACTTTCTCCTGCATATTTGTTGAGCGATTGGTTCTTGTTTTGTTTGTCCCTATAGTTTCTTGTTGGTGATTCTTTCCGGCCCTCGCTAGCTGAAGAGGACCTCCGAAAATAGGACAAAGTGGAAATGCGTTGTTGAAGCACTATTTTCTAATCGGAATCCAGGAGAATATTACTAATAATCGTATACGACACAAAGTGATAAAAGGAGGCAGAAACTATCCTCAATAATCCCATCGAATCATTATCGTAATAGATACAGAAAACAGACCAGTTAGATATCGAATTCTCTCACATTAAAGTGTCGAAATCTTATTCTCTCAGTGATGAAGGCTTCATAATCTCCGTTATAAACAATAAAAGCACTTAAAGACGGAATGCATGAATCATATTATCTAGAAATAAAATACTTCTCCATTTCACTAAGTAGGCTACTTGAAACAGTTATTTATTGGAAAACTAATTCTTTTATACAGGAAGGGTGACTAAGATTTGTAGCAGACTATCTTGGTTACGGGACTAGGGTGTAACCATCACTTCCGAAATTTAGCAGTTTCACACAGACTACTCAACAACCATTTTTGTTGTTTTTTTGGCTAACCAATCTAATCTGCTTTAGATTGAGACTTATAGCTTGAATAATGATGTGATTCGCGTGCTCTACGCCTGTGAAACCTGGCCTCTCCAAGCTGAGGTTGTGGGGCGACTATGCGTGTTCCATCATCGCTATCTCCGCAGGATTGCTTGTGTTCGATGGCATCATCGCGTGAGTAATTCTGAGGTTCGGCGGCGTGTGTTTGAACACAGTGGAGATCACCATTCATTGAGTGTCGTCATCTGGAAACACCAACTCCGGTGGCTTGGACATGTGCTGCAAATGTCATCCCAGAGGCTTCCGTACAGGTCTCTGTTCGCTAGCCCTGGGACGGGATGGAAAAGGCGGAGGGGTGGTCAATCCATGACGGCGTCGTGGCATGACGGATTTTTGTGCTAGATTAGCATCAGTTGGTGTGTCACGACTCCCTGGTTGGGGTCCGCGAGATAGCTCGAATCGATGGCTCGAAACGTTATCGGATATGGCCAAGAATCGTAATCAATGGCGAACGTGTTGCAGTTTCCTTCTTTCTTCCCTTCCTGATGATAGTTAACGAATACTGTTTGAACTTGTTAAACGTGACTGTTTTCCTTCCTGATGAAGTTCTTTATCCGTTTTCTACCTATATTTTTACTTTTAATCTATGTTGTTTTATTATTATTGTGTGGCGCATCTTTCTTGGTGCCATATTGTACCAAGTTTTTTTCTGCGCTTAAATAAATAATAATGATTCGCGTGCAAAATGAATTCAAGACTGCAACAGAACCAAGAATATTCAGACATTCTGTTAGGACGAAGATGTAGTTCAGTTTTTATAAAATACAAAAAGCCTATAAATTTCCAACAAGTCGAGGTATTATCCTTTGAAAATGTCAAATTGTCGTTGTTAAAATTAGAAACAAGACATGTGGGCGGGAAAATGTTAATGCTAATTTTACACTTTCCTCTCATATTTTGCTTTTTCTATCTCATTCAGTCCATCGTGGAGACGTAGTTAGACATTGATAAAAAGTTGCAAGCATAAACTGCCTGATTCTTTGGTTTCAATGGTTTTCAAAACAAAAACAAAAAAACAATCCACCTTTTATACACCTCCAAGGGAAAAAGAAAACAAACACGAATATCTATCTGAAAAATTCAAAAACTTCAAACCTTTTTCTCTTTGATTAAATATTTTGTCCTAGATCCTGTGAGAGTTGCTAAAACTGGATAAACTGGTTGTGGATTCATTATCTCCAATCCATTGGTTATACATCTTTCAACTAAATGTGTCCAACGTCTAGCTTCTTCTTTAGTTCTTCGTAGACGTGCCCAAAGACGTCCACGACGTCGATACAGTTCAAGTCGACGCTGTATAATTATGACAAACAACACGAGAACGACATTTAAAAGTAGTATAAAGATGCAGATATAAATATGAATAACATCTACAAGAATATCAAATAGCGGAGAGATGCGTCCAGTGGCGAAGAAAAGGAGTGAACGACTCTTAGGGAACAATATAGAAAATATGAAAGGAAGACAAAGAAACACAACACATAGGAGAAAAAAAAACTAGCACAATACAGATCTCAGCATCATCTAAGCACGAATACACAAGGCTTGTTTGGCATAACGCCAACTTACGCCATCTCTGGCTTAGTGGACATTGACATCCAGCTGGCAGTGTACTGCTTAGCAGTCCGCTCCGTTTTCCCTTGTGGCTGTGAACGAGACATGGTCATTGAAAGTGGAAGACATGAAAAGCCTGGCTAGCTGTCTTTGATCATAGGTGTCTGCATTCTATATCCCTTGTTATATGGTATAACAGGGTGAGAAATATTGAGGTGAGGCATCGGTCGAGTGTTAGGTAGGTGGGAGGGGAAATGAATCGACGAAGCTGTGAAGTTACACCGATTGAGATGGCTACTGTATGTGCCAATGATTGTGAACATTGAACATTTGTTCATTGGCCTTGGTCGCCATTGGCAGGCCAATTGAAGGCGCGAATGATTCAATCGTGTACAAGTAATATATACACAGGTGAATCATTAATATTCAGTATTTATTTCACACACTAGCATAATCATTGATTTCACGCATCTCGTGATTATTGATTTAAATTACTGAATTCCCAGGGTTTGTTAATATTTTTAAAATGTGACATTGATTTTTCTAATTGTATAAATACGGAGTTTTGTTTAACATTTTCGACTGTTGTTTGAGACAGTAAAAGCTCTCATATCAACGTCCAGTCTTCTCTTTAATTTGTCTTGCGTGCCCGGCGGTATTATTGTTGTTGTTGTTGACGTGCGATTAAGATAGATTAGCCAGCGCATTAGTTAGATTCGCTCGTAGTCTACAAGGTCCTCATATTCACATACATAACAACAAGTTAGAAGAAGACGAAAGAATACGAAAAAAAAGTACAATACATTCCTTGTAAAACATTTGTTTATAGACTTAGTACAGAGTAGTGATTTTAACTATCGAAGAATACAATTTCTTGTCATTCATTGTGTTTTGGAATTAAAGTCGATATAAAATAAAAAAATAATAAAATGTACTTGGCTCCACAGAAACAAGTGAATCGGTAAGCGTATACTGAAGTTGCCAAGAGCGGTATCTTTCCTTTGACATTTTGTTGAACATGACTGCATGTGTGGAGTAGTTGAGATGTAGAGATAAAGAAAAGAATGACCTTGGAATCGCTCACAACAGGCAGTTTTGAAAAACTTCAGTAATTGTATTTCCAGTGAATTTCAGATTTACAGATTCTTGAAATGTAATAGGCATATACAGATCAAAAATTTTCGGATAAAATCTGTCTCTGAATAACGCTATCCAAACAGCCACAACCATAATTGTAGAGAAGAAATAGACTGATAAAGCTCGAAGGAATGTTTGTTAGGACAAACTAATTGTACGTACATACATTTGGTATAGCTTATCTTCAATGCTTTATTTACACATCATTTACAAATTGGTCGAATATCACCACATTAGATAGCTTATTGGATTCTGCACAGTTTTTCTAACGTTCTCCTCAGAGTTCTATTCTTCAATTGCCTTTTTCTAGTATCCAAAATGCATTGTTACTTTTCTGAATTCGTTTGCTGATATACTACTTATATCTGATCATAAGTAGTACTCAACAACACAACGACTATCAAATGTGCAATTTGCAAATTAAGTCACAACCTGCCACTTACACAGTTTGAAGTGAAATTTCACCACTAGTTTCCTTTGGAGATTGAAATTATTCAAATTATAGCATATGAACTGCTTGATATCACAAGTAGCGATCAAGAAAGCCAGCGTAAATGTATGACACTATATGCTACTCATTGATCTATATAAGTAGTTGGGCACCACTCAAATCTATCAGTAGTGATTGTTGGTCAGATTGCGGTGAACATCACTGATGAATTCGACCCTAAAACGAGCGAAACAGCCGTCCAACTTTAATGTCATTTCAATCCAGTTAGCAAGCACGAATGATACCAAACTAGTGATATCAATATCTATCAACAGTATGCAGCATTATAAACCAACCAATAATTACATTTAAAACAAGCAATAAAGGTTAATAAAGCAGGATTTAACGAATTCATCAAATTTCGGTAGGACTCGTCAGCTGAATACTCTACATACACGGATATTTTATATATATACTTTTGAAATTACATTGGGAGGTATAAGACTGATAAGTAAATAAATTACATTGAATTAGTCAGCTGAGTGCAAAGTGTCAAAAACCTCAATAACAAAACATCTTGTGGACTATGGACATGATATCGACGCTGTCAAGTCATTTACTATTGTCAGCAGACAAAGAAACAGGAAGATGCTTGCAATTGCAGAGGCTTGTGCAATTCGAGTTTATAAACCAGGTCTCTGTGTACAAAAGGAGATGGTCGTCACTGTGAATCTACCATGGTAATACGTTTTACTTATTATTCTACCTCTTATTATTATTATTGATTCATTTAAAACTATCCTTTATCAGTAGCATTATCTTAACTCACTTCAACACTATTATTATTATTATTATAACTATTACTATTGATATTACTCTGTTTGCAATTCTTGTTATATTCTCTAATGACTAATTGTTTATCTAAGTGATGCAATTGAAGCGTAATGCAATTTACCTTAATTTTGATCTCTCATTCTCTCTCTCCCCTTATCTATTTGAACATGACCTGGAAAACATTCGCACTTGTCTCTCTGCATGACTAATTCAGTGTAGTTTATTTGCTTATCAGTCTTATATCTCCCAATGTAATTTCAAAAGTATATATATCCGTTTATGCAGAGTATTCAGCTGACGAGTTCTACCGAAATTTGATGAATTCATTAAATCCTGCTTTATTAACCTTTGTTGCTTGTTTTAAATTCGTATCAGGAAATAAATGTTTTCAATAATTATATTGGTAGTCACAAGATCAGTGGATAATATGCTCCCTTCCGCAGTTAAAAATAGATGTTCATTAAAATAATTCTTTTACTATATGTATAACAGTTGGGTACTGTGGTAGTATGTAGTTCCATATTAATTTGCATATTAGATATATCAGACAGTGAGTGAAACAGTATTATTTACTTGATGACAGAGTTTTCAAACAAAATTTATGATTCCATTATAGATAAGATTTTATTTTGATATATCACACAGTGTTATACAGTAATATTAACTGCACTGTATGCATTAACACACCATCACACAATAGGGTGGTGGGAGAGAGTTAAAATTCTAAGAAGTAATATAAGTAGGTGGAGAGAGAGAGATTGATTACTGAATCCTGCCTGGTTCATTGAGTCTACATCCAACACATGCAACAGAAATGACTCAATGCAAATACCAGAAATATGGAAGATATTATTACCACCAGTTAAATCAGAGGAGGATAATAAATAATCTTAAAATTCTATTTCAATTCACGTACATCATAACATTGTAACAAGTTACTTATTATGACTTATAAAAACACCCGTTTTATTTCCCATCTGATTGTATTTGATGAATAACACTCATATTTATTATCTCTGAATGTACATTATCCCATATTGATTTTTATTCAAATGTCTAATCATCAATTTCACTCATGCATATAAATGAAGTAAGAAGTTATGTGAGTGACTTGATATGATTATGAGCAGTAATAATTTGTGCTCGAAACGTGGTCATCAGTTAATATTACTGTATAACACTGTGATTTATCAAAATAAAATCTAATCCATAATGGAGTTATACTCTACCACAGTGCCGAAGTTTTATACTTATATCAACAATTTACGATTGTTCATAATCATACCACATCAATTATAATCACACAACTTCGAAACTTGAGTTGCATAGTTTCCTTTGTTCTTTCCTAATTGTAGTCGTAGAGGGGTAGTAGAATTTTCCAGATGTCCAGCTGGACAAGTGTTGAATCATTCCTGTTACACGTGTTTGCTTCCGTTATCAGCTTCTCTCTCCCTCCACACTGCTGTTATATTAGATTTTAAAGCTATCATCGTATCCCATCCTAGTGTATGGTGTTCACAGGAAACCCACACATTCAAACAGATATTTTGATTTCCTATCATCCCATCCTATGTCAGTAAAAACAGGATAGTTGAAATGTTTAGGTACGAGGGCAGGAAAAATAAGTAGAACCACGGAAAATCTAACAGAGGAAGTGGCGCACAGACGAGAAGCTTTGAAACTTAATAATTACTCTGATACGTTAATCAGGAAGTATGCAGGAAAATATGAAAGTAAGATAAATAATAAAAGTAGTGATAGTGATAACAGTAATAATAATATTAATGACGACACCAACAATAGGGAATATAAATCATCAGTAGCACTTCCAAACAAAGAAGGAACCTCGGAAACCTTACGGAAAATTCTTAAAAACGAAGGAATAATAGTGGCATTCAATCACCCACAAACTCAATTAGAAACAAGCTTTTTCAGTTAACGGTTCTTGTGGAACCAATTAAACAAAAGTTTAATTTATCTAACACCCTGCTGGAATGATCGTCAGGTCAAAGTAGGAGAACAGGGTCAGTAAGACTAGCGGAGCACAAAAACCTAGTATCAAAATCTAGATTATAGGCTTCCAATTGTAGCAAACCTATATATTATAAAATATGAACTTGAAAACAATCAAGAAGTATTAATTAAATCTTTATTATCAATAGATGAAGTGATAAAATGCTTAAAACTTTGTTTGGAATCTACATATTTTACCTTTAAAGACAAACCATACTGTCAAACAAATGGAGTTGCAATATCTCCAATTGTAGCTAACCTATATATGAAAGCCCTAGAAAAGAAAGCATTGACAAGTTTTAGTTGTCATCCTAGAATATGGTGTAGATATGTAGATGACACATTTATCATCATAAAGAAAGCTGAAAAAGAAAACTTTCTAACAGAAATTAACTTAATCTCAGAATATATTGAGTTTACTAATGAAGTAGAATCAGCTGAGGGAACTCTAAACTTTCTTGATTGTTTTGTGAAAAGACAAACTGACGAAAAACTAAAGTTTACAATATATAGAAAACCGACACATTCCAACAAGTATTTGAATTTCCAATCAGATCATCCAATAGGAATGAAAGTTTCAGTAGCTTTAAATTTCGTTAACAGAGCTAGAAACATTATAACAGATAATGATGATATGAAGAACGAGACATCCAATATAAAACAGATTTTGATTGGAAATGGTTATCCGGAAAAGCTACTAAATAATATTATCAATAAAAAGGAGAAGGGAAAGCAGAAAAAAATTGAAAAATCTTGGCTATTCTATATCGAAAGGACAGCTGAACAACTTCAAAGACTCTTTGCTTCATATAATATTAAAGTCTATGTCAAGCCTTTTAACTCTCTGGAGAAAGCGCTGGTGCATGTCAAGGATGTAGTTCCGAAAATGACACATAACAACTGTGTCTGTAGGATAAGGTGTTCAGAATGTGATGCGTGCTATATAGAGGAGAGCAGTAGACAGGTGAAGGTCAGAGTGAATGAACATAGACTATGCACGAAACGTCCACCTAGAAATGAAGTAGAATTAAAAAGTCTAGAGAAAAGATCAGTTATAGCAATGCATGCTATAGACAGCGGACATAAGATTGATTTCGACAATGTCGAAATTCTAGGAAGAGACTTTCATTCACATAAAGAAAGATTGACTTCTGAAGCCTTGCACATTTTAACCACATCGAATGCAGTGAATAGGAAGGAGAGAAGGGATAGACTTATCACCTATATGGCAAACTCTAATGAAGCAAGACAGATGAAAAAACAACAAACACTCTATGAGCCTCCATGACCTTTTAAAACATGTAGTATCATGTTTATCACATATGAATTCACGTATTTTCCACATGACAAATAACATACATACACACACGCACACTCATACAAAACTAATCTGTACAAATCAACTATAGGAGAGTGAACACAACAACAACTTGACATTAGTCATTACAAATATATGTGATGACTGCTTACATATTTCTATTGGTAAAAATGTCCATGGACAAATGATCTTCAAATAAACTGACTTCAATTTATGTAAAAAATTTTGACTATATATTTTGATGATTAATAAAAATCCGAATAAATCTGCTGAAGAAGCTGTGGCTTACACAGCGAAACGTTTAGAAAAATCTTGTTTTGATTTTCTTAACACGCTGGGACTAATTTAAATAATTTATAATAAAAAATCTAGATTCTAATAAGATAAGTTCAGCTATACCACTCACTACATGCATTTACACAAAACCATACAACAGGATGGGATAAGATGACAGTTTTAAAATCTAATATAACAGCAGTGTGGAGGGAGAGAGAAGTTGATAACGGAAGCTTTATTTATCGAATCAACTGCAAACACGTGTAACAGGAATGATTCAACACTTGTCCAGCTGGACATCTGGAAAATTCTACTACCACTTCTACGACAAATAGTGTAACAACATAAGACAAGGGCCAGGCAACAGATCGTTTATTAAAGAAAATCAACACATATTTATAGATTTTAATGTACATTATTGTAGATTATTGTTAGTACAAAATACAGTCTTTTGATTGGTTGTTTCTCACAGAAAGTTAACCTTGCATCTCTTTGTGGCTGTGTCAGATCATCCATATGCTAACTGTATCCGCCTACGCAAAGCCTTTGTCCTCATTTACTCACCATCAATATTGGGGACATAAACATTGACGTAAATTACTGTCTACCAACTTTGACTAGCAGCCAGCTCTCACTACAATAGGAGAGGACAAAGAAAACTATAGAACTCAAGTTTCTAAGTCGTGTGATTATAATTGATGTAGTATGATTAGGAACAGTCATAAATTGGGTTCGAGCCCCGGTGGTGTGTACTGATGAAGAGTCGCAAACTAGACTGACGAAACAGCTGTCCAGTACTCCCAGGTTTTCCAATGGCTCTTTAACCAATGCCAGTTCATGATGAAATCCTGTGACCAATAATAAATTGTGTTCGAAACTCTGTCATCCAGTAAATAATAATACTGTTTCACTCACCGCGTAATATATCCAATAAAAAAATTAATGTGGAATAATTATTTCACACCTATTAATAGAACACCAAAGGAAAACAACTTACGTTGAGATTAAATTCTTGCTCATTTGAAATAAAAGGTACAGATGACTGGCGGATAAATGATGAATGGGATTTACTCGACGACTCTTGTGGCGCTGAATAACTCTGATCAAATGTTGATGATGATGATTTTAAATCTGTCGATCGTGACCCACTTGAAGTCAACGAGGAATACTGAGAAGATACTGAAATTGGACTAGACTGTATGCCTGAATCACTTGACTGGTTAGATAAAGATTCTTTGATCAATGCCTCTAAGATGGTTTGTGTCACAAGACCTTGAAAACCGTGATAGGATGTTTGATTGAGCATACGTTGTCTACGTGCTACTGTCGACTGTTCAGTGAGTTTGCTAATTCCAGCTGTAACAGCATTTGCCACTGTCTCTTCTAATAATAATTCGGTATCAGAAAAACTCTCTGGATCTTCACCGAGTGCTATGGAAGTGGAAAGACTAATGTCTTTCGGAATCAATGTGATATCACGATTCATTGAGTTTATTCCTACGGTTGTTGGTTGTAACGTCGTTGTTGACGAAGATGACGGAGAAGGATTCACTAGAAATGAGCTTATTTCTTCAGTTTTTGTTTCTAATTTTTCTTCATCTGGTCTAATACAATGACAGCTGTAAAAACGACACCATTGACGGTATAAATCAAATGCATCTCGTCGAATATAGAAAACCGATGGATATTTACGTAGAACCTCTGTAAATATTGACGGATTCTAAAATAACACAAGGAGATAGAATATAATCAGTGCTGAAGAAGTTTTTGCGGAAAGATTGGAAAATGAGAATTTTAGTTGGATATGCAACCTAGAAAAAACTCCAATAAGACTTTAACCTCTGGGTAAATATTCGCGCATAAACCCAGAACTCACCATCAAAACTTCACTGTGCACATCTACTTAGGGTAGATAATCTCTCCTATAGACTGTTTCTGTTATGCATCAGTTCTATTGTAATGACAGAAGACAAGGGTCAGGCAACAGATCGTTTATTGAGAAAATCAACAGATATTTATAAATTTTTATGTACATTATTATTCGTTATTGTTAACAGAGTACCAACATCATCTGACTGGTTGTTTTCTTGCTGAAGGTTATTCTGTATTGCCTGTGACCGTTTCTTAGAAAGTTAAGCTATATATCTGCGAATCGTATCCGCCCACGCTAAGTCTGCTGTGATCGGCTGGTGAGTTCCTCAAGGTTAAGATTTGTTATTGTTTTCTCTCATGACCCCGATTCAGGACGTAAACATTGGCGCAAACTGTTGTCTACAATTTTTGCTTGCAGACAGCTCTCACCATACTAGTAACCAAAATATCAGCTACCGACAATCAAGCAAGTAGTACAAAGTGAAAGATCACTGACCAGACTTAATAAACAAAAGTGAATATCTCATTATCACAGTAATTCTGTGAAAGTCCGTCGAACCATTCTGTACGCATCATTATATGCCATTAACTGTGTTCAGCGTTATCTCCAAAGTAAGGGAAGTGATTATCAGGAACAAACAATTAACTCCCTATTTCTAAGCAGGATATCAATCGGAAAAACCTCAGAATAATAACTTTGTAAAACACTTTCTGAATACAGGATTTCATCATGAGCTGACACCGGTTAGAGAACCATTGGAAAACCAGCGGGGAGTACTGGACAGCTATTTAGTCAGCCTAGTTTGGGACTTTTCACCAGGGGTTTGAACCCAGGACCTTCTGGTTACAAGGCCAGAGAGCTCGTAGACCATTAAGCCACAGGGACCCAATTCAATGGCCAGTCCATGAATTCTAACTTCTGCCAATTCACGACATGGCGCAATCGCTAGCCAATGTCTTCGGCGAGTATTTGTCGTCACACCCGACCTGCTGCACCCTACTGGTCACGACTTCTCACTAGAACCCCAGGTAACTACCTACCTGAATAGTTTATATTACATAGCTGGAGGTAATAGGCAGGAAATCCTTCAACTAGGTTTCGTGCATTTTGCCACACACCAGTCAGCAAGGTGTATCTGCAACTTTGAAGGAACTCATGACCATTGTGAGATTTGAACCCGTGTTACCCCGTGAGCAGTGCAGTCAGAGACGTTACCACCGGGGCTATTTGGGCTCGTGACTGGCGTCTTGTAGGACGGTATTAGATACTTTGATTGGCCAACTCTTAGTAGCTAGTATCATGTGTCTAGTCCTTTGTTTGGTGCAGCAGACTGACTGAATCCTATCAGTCAACTTTCTGAATAGTATTCATGTTGTGATATTCCACGATAAATTAGAGGATGTACGATTGAGGTGATTGATAAATATTAACTTATGAATTTCAATGACAGACAAGGGTGCTTATTATCACCAATGATATTCCTAATTGTGGTGGACTGGATTATGCGTCAGACAGTGGGAAACGAAAAGACAGGGATATCCTGGACCGACGTGAAGAACCTAGAAGACCTGGATTTCGCGCGTGGATGATTTATGTTTGATGTCACACAAAATCGAAGACTTACAAGCGAAAACCGATAAACTGGTCGAAGAAGCAGCCAGAGAAGACAGGACTCCAGGTGAACATAGACAAGACGGAGGTTATGAAAATAACCAACCAACAACAACAGCAGCAACATCCAGCGCCAATCACCATCAACGGGAGGGATTTGAAAGAGGTTACTTCTTTCACTTATCTAGGTAGGGAGCATTGTCTCAACTACAGCAGGAACGGACGAGGATGTCAAATCGAGAATCGGGAAGGCGAGAAACACATTCATCAACCTGAAACCAATCTGGAAATCTTCGTCACTCAGCATCAACAACAAAATTCGTATTTTCAGTACAAACGTCAAGTCAGTCAGTTCTTCTATACGGATCAGAAACTTGGCAGGTCACAAAGAATATTTCCAACAGCCTGTTGCAGACCTTTATCAACAACTGTCTTCATTCTATACTCAAGATCAGATGACCGGAAAGAATCACTAACAAGAAACTATGGGAGCAAACAAAACAAGAACCAATGGCCCAACAAATATGCAGGAGAAAGTGGAGATTGATTGGACACTCGCTGAGGAGGCCGTTGGGTGACATCGCGCGTCAGGCCATTGCTCGAGTGGAACCCGAAAGGGAAGTGGCGAGTGGGACGTCCAAGGGTGACATGGAGGAGATCGTGTGAAGAAGAGTTGAAACAGTATGGATTAACATGGATGCAGGTGAAAAGTACAGTAGAAGCAAGTGGAGACTTGCAGTTGAAGCCCTATGTTCCACTAGGAACCCAAAGGAACAATAATAATATGAATTTCAATGAAGATCTACTACTACTATCGGTGATCAATAAACTGTGTCAATAGAAAAAAGTATACACCCTACTAATAGTTCATCATCTGATGAAATACATTTGATGTGTTATATGAAAACGCATCTTTTGACCTAAAATGTTAAATCGCTTTCTTATTGTTTCATATAATTGACTAATTGATTAGCAGGTTATTATTTAAACAAACGACACAGAATACAGCACTCTTAAGGTATACTGTTGCTTAGTTCATTCACACTAATTTACCATTTACATAAACGTAAACTTAGTTAGAATGAATACAATGAACGTTACATTGATTTGAAGGGATTTGATCTGACTGGTTAAAGGATCACACCATGAGCTGACATCGTTTAGAGAACCATTGGAAAACCAGCCAGAAGTACTGGACAGCTGTTTCGTCAACCTATTTTGGGACTCTTCAGCAGCATGCAGTCACCACTATGGTTCGAATCCAGGACCTTCCGGTTACAAAGCAAGTTCGCGGACCATTAAGCCATTGGAACCCGATCCAATGGCTGGCCCATGAATTCCAGCTTACGCAACCACTAGCCAATGTCATAGGTGGCGAGTATTTGTTCCCACACCTGACCTGCAGTACCCCACTGGTCACGACTACTCACTAAAACCCAGGTAACTACTTACCTGAATAGGGCGAGTCGCTAGTGAGCATTGAATTGTATGGAACGAAGTAGATAGGGATCTGATCTGTCCGTCCCACTCCCCTTTTCCACTCACAACAGTACTCTACTTCAATGACGTACATATGCTAACACCAGCAGTTGTTTAAGTACTATTTGAGTGTGTTGCATTCTACTACCTGGTAAGAATATGTATTTACGATTTAGAATTCTAAAAATTCCTGGTCAAAAGTATGATTTCCCTCATAAATCATACACATTGATCATATTTAAAATGGTATCTCAGAATTAGTGGGAGATACGCAGTTTTCGTGCGTCGGTGGCACAGCGGTAGAACGCTTGCCAACCACACATGTGGTCCGGGGGTCAATACCTTGCCGACGCACTCCTTTACTTCGCTAAGCCACGTAATAAGACTAGTAAAGAGGGAATGCTGGACATGAGGTTAGCAACCCCATCCTAACACCACTGCTACCAAAATTTCAATGATCTAGTTTGAAGCTTTTGGTCCAACTGGGAACAGGAATACTTCACAAAAATCCGCTTTGTTGTAGAACACGTTGATGCTTGTTCGCAAACACTGCTCACGTTTAGATTATGGGATTTGTGGGAGAATGGATTCATTTAATCTCAATGCTTAGATTTCATTACGAACAAACATCAAGTAAGAAAGATCACTGTAAAAAACCAGGGAACACTGGACATCTGTTTCGCCCTATTTCGGGACTCTTCAGCAACGCACGCACCCACGACTGATGTTAGTTTTCGATGAAATCTAACAATCGAAATTAAACTCCTCACGTTATTGGTATACCGAAGTCGCATAACAGAAGAGATTGATTCCAATATTTACTAAACCTTGGGACACCGGCTAATAAAATGCAAAACATCAACCATACGATACGCAGATAATTCTGTTAACCACTTCACTTATTTAGGAAGTGGCATCAGCCAACGCGCCAGTGGGTTGATCGCTGACGAAATCTCAGCAGGGAAACAGAAGGCTCGCTGTGCATACGCCCACCAACTTACACCATCTCTGGCTTAGCAGACGTGATATCCTGTTGGCTGTGTCGACCGTAGGACGTATGTACTGCTCAGCAGTCAGCTCCGTTTTCCCTTGTGGCTGTGAGCGAGACATGGCCATTGAAAGTGGAAGACATGAAAAGCATGGCTACCTATCCGTGACCATAAGTGTCTGCGTTACATCTAGCGTATTAAGGGGTATAATAAGGTGAACAATGTTGAGGTGAGGCATCAGTCGAGTGCTCGGTAGTAAGAGGGGAAATCAATCGACGAGGTTGTGAAGTTACATCTACTGAATAACACGGTTATGCACGTACTAGCATAGCTTCTCGACAACGCATTGAAGTCACACTGACTGAGTCATGGCCTTCTTTGACGGGCAATGTTAGCTGACTGACATAGGATGGATCAGGTTGGAAAAGAGTTAGCTAGTGGTGGTCAAACCAAAACACGGCTTCATCAGTCAATGAAATCCACAACAGTTAGTTTAAGCTAGCCATGTAGGGAAGTGTAGACTTTTTGGTTGGAGTCTTCGGGTTGGTAAAAACTAATGAAATCTGGAGACAATTGTTGATATGGCTTAAAATCGTTCTCAATGGCTGACGCAGATGCATTCACTCTTTGTGATTTGTCATATCCAATAAAGCTTTATTATTTTCCCATATGACTATTTGTTTTGTCTCACACTTCTGTTTATTATGTCTTTTCAACCTCCACTGCATGAATGGAGTATGGCGACTCGAACTGCTGCACATCTGTGCAAGTTTACGTTAAAACTAGTCAGTCAGTCAGTCAGGCGGATAATCCTTTCAAGTTAACAAGCATCTATTCTCCATCTAGCTGTAAAAAGCAAAACCTCTGAGCATGTCTTGGTGATTTAGAATAGCCCTACCAGAACTGATAGGGCTATACGTGAACAGCCTCACAAAAGTAGAAGCATATTTGAAAAGTCTACAACAATAACAAATAAGGCAAGAGACAAACCTCTCTCTCCCTGAGTCAAAGCAAAAGCAAGGTACTTACCAAATCATAAGTAGTAAGCGGTCTAAGCACACCATCTGGAAATACATCTAAGAAGGAGATCTGAGCTATAATATTATCTTCTTGTGAAGTAAAAGGTATTTGTCTGTCCAACTGGGCTTTTATAAACGGTGAAAGCTTTTCAATCGCTTTTAATGCTGTGCTACAAAACAAGGTACAAGATGAGGTGAGAACCCGTTAAATTACACAATTCACTTAGTTTGAAAAAAAAAGAAAAAAACTATAATATACACAACATATTACCCTTCACAAGAAGACAAAAAGAAAACTTTAGGAGATAACTGGCCAGGGGAAAATATGGATGCAGAGTAACTACGACTGCGGTTTAACGCCTAAGGAACTCAATAATCAACTAATGAGTCATGATTTCGAACCCGAATCCACCTATGAATTTAAGGCAGTCAAATACGAAACCTCTCACAATAGGTGTAACCTTTTACCGTCTATATTGGGAGACAGGCGACTGCCGACTTTCAAAATGAAAACGAATTTACTCTCCTAGTGAAACCTCACTATGCTTTACCTTATTATTCTCTTTCGTAAAGTATATGGTTTTATAGAAGTTAAAATCAATTCAGTGAAGTTCAACAATAGCGTCCCAGGAGTGCAAACGCTCCAATGACCTTGAACGCATGCTAGTCATTGGCTAACGGCACCTGTCATTATCATAGCTGAAATATCAACGCTATTCACCGACTAAGGAGTGAATTTCACTCAGATCAGGTTTTTAAGTACTGTTTGGAAAACGTATTAATAGCTCGTTAAGGTTAGTGTTAAGGTAAGTATTGGGGTTACGGTTAGGATAAGGGTTGTAATTATGGTTAGGATTAAGGTTAGGGTTAGTGTTAAGTTTAGGGTTAGGGTCAGGATTAAGGTTACGATTAGGGATAGATTTAGAGTTGATGTCATTTATTTTAATTTGGTTTCTTATCCACATTTTCCTGGTAAGTAGTCGTCGATCCTCTTACTGGAAACCAAATTAATTTTATGGAGGGCTTTTGGAGAAGACTGCACATGAGGATAAAAGAAATAAACGATTCACAAAAACAGTTTATCTGTAGCCATCTCGGTGAATACATGTACAGAAACTAATCTAACTTAGCAATTGATACTCCTCATTATAACTGAGACGTATTTTTAAGTCATGTCAGAGAAAGATATCCTGTTTAATGTGTTTTCAAGCATTTTCTTGTCAATATACATCATTTTTGTGCAAAAGTTGTTCCTAATTTTTATGATTGGTCAGCTGAAGGTCACTGGTGCGTTCGCACTCCTGGGACGCTATTTTTGAACTTTGCCCTCAATGCCTCATGGTATAAGAATAACACTTGTGCACTGTGACAGAGTATAACTCCATTATGGATAAAATTTATTTTGATAAAGTCTCACAGTGTTATACAGTAATGTTTACTGATTATGAGCAGTGATAAATTGTGCTCGAAACGTGGTCAAATCAGTAAATATTACTGTATAACACTATGAGACTTTATCAAAATAAATTTTACCCATAATGGAATCGACGCGTCGTGGATCATTTTTATTTTTATCGTTCTAGATAAACTGCTTTTGTAATTCCCTTGTCTTCCGCTTTGGAAAATCGATTTAATTTACCCGTATAAAGAATAAGCTATACGATAACTGCACAGGTCATCATTGAATTCCTGTTCACATAGAAACTTTCTTACCATAGAGATTCATACGACAGTATCATTTTACCAAGTGTATAAATATGAACACTCCCTTAAATCACGTACAACAGGCTGGTAATACACTTGTCTAAAAGTTAGGGGTAAAAGAAGTAGAGATATCGGGACAATATGACAACTATGACAACATGTACTGAGGCAACAACCTAGAAATTACTACACAATCCTAATTCGAAACCGTGATCGAAGATCCCCGTGTGGCTGGTGAAAAGAAACATAGCGAAACATAACTCCTCACAAGCAGATTCACTATCTTACCATTGGTCAACAGATAGAAGTAGAAATATTTTCCACTCATATCAATACAGAGAAATACACACACTTAAAACTTTTACTACTCATAAAATAAAACAGTAGTAAAATTGGAGTGCATTTTTTGAAACTTACCTTGAAACAATAGGATCGAATAATAAATCACGCCAACGGGCTTCTATTTCCTTTTCTGTATAGTGTACAGCAAATCTTACAGTATGATACACCTCAGTAAGATTACATACCTATTGTATACAGAAGGGTTTATACAAGTAGATGATTAGAACAAGTTTAATAATAACAACTATACAAACCATTTATTTTTCAAGTAGTGATTTTTGTAGGGATTGTGTTTGATTGGATGGAGGATTTCATCACGAGCTGATATCAGTTAGAGAACCACTGGAGAACCTGGGAGTACTGGACAGCTGTTTCGTCAACCTAGTCCGGAACTCTTCGGCAGTAGACACTCACCAAGAGATACAGTTATATCATTCATGGAGAATTTAGATAACTTACACAACACTACTTATACTTCATGTTGATGTTACGCCGTGCTTTAAAGGTTTCAGTGTCCAATGTTAAACTGACAAGTCGTAGGCTCGAACTCTATTGCACTACTCCTCCACTTATAACATAATCACACATTGTAGGTGTGGCTTATTGCCAAGTGCATGAAGACAGACGTTGGTATCCAGTAATATCGCTTGTCACATACACTCACGGAATAAGTATTAAACAAAACCATAAACACCAAAATCTAAACATCCATCGATTATCTCTTTGCATTCAGAAAAAAAACAGGACATTCACATCATTAAAGCCGTCATCTTAACTGCAGTTGAATTACGACTGACGTTCTCCACGAGACCAATGATCCGCATGAACGTGAAGGATAAGCTACCACTGTCGGCCTCATCTATGTGCATCTACCAATTCACCTGCTCGTGTGGAGCCAGGTATATCGGCCGTACTCAGCGTTCGCTATCCAAACGCGTCAACGAACATTTACCTTCATGGTTTTATAAAGGAGAAAACCCATGCCCCCGCAGCTCAATCCTTGAACATTTGATCGACTCTGGACACCAAGTCAAACCACAAATAAACTTCAAAGTTATCTACAGAATACAAGGCAATCTTGCTAAAAATGTACGGATCAAACTTCTCCACATTGCAGAAGCAATGGCAATTCATCTGCTAAATCCTGAACTCTGGATACAAAAGAAATTCGTTCATTCATTAAATCTACAATGGACGTAATCTTTCTTAATTTCAGTCTTACTAATTGTATTATTTTGTCTTTTGCATTTTATTATTTCACATCTTCATTTGTACTATTCTCTACCCCACCATTTTGTAATCTCTACCCTCATTAAGATTGTTGCAAACTCGACCCATGTCCAATTTCTAGTCAACTATATTACGTCATCCGATTAACTTACTTAATTTTCAACTGTATTATTCTCTACCCCCACCCTTATTTAATTTTAACCACCACTCATTAACACTGTTGCCAACCTGACCTACTCTGAATTCTACTCAACTGTATTACGTCATCCAATTCACTTAATCAATTTTATTTTATTTTCTATCTAATTAACGTTTGTTTCCAAGCCAAATAATACTTATATTACGTAATTATCCTAACTTTATAAATCTAATGTACACACACGCAAACAAAATTGTATATAAATGCGATTGTACAGCTCAGTGAATGAATTCGCCGAAAAGTCTCGTCGCTGTACTCCTTCTTTTCTTTTATAAAAAAACTGACAAAACAATAACGTTAATCACGTCTGTAATTTAGTGCAACATATGACACACTTAACCTACCATGACAACAGAATTTATCAGTAAATAATCATCACCAGGTGTCCATGGTACAAGTTTCACTTCATGCTTAGTTGTCTGACGATTGATTCGAGAAGCCTTCTTTTTTATTTTTCTGGAGAAATCTCTACTCCGACGATACAGTGTTTGTCGTAAGTGATTTCCACTGGATGCTGGTCTTTGATGAGTAGTAGTAATCTATCCATCGATTATTAAACAATTAGCATCAAATGGATAAAATTAGCTTACAGAACTTGCAGAATGAGTAACCGAAATATTGTCAGAATTAGAGGTAGAAATTTCTCCAGTAACGGAAGTATTATGGTTCATTTCCTGAAAAACAAACAAAGATGGACAGAAAATGACATCACTTGAATACTAACAACACATTATAAATTTTTATTCTAGATATTGATTTTTTGAAATATTAAAGAGACGATATTTGCCATTAGAAAAACAAGATTTCAATAATACATTTTTCTCCAAAATTAATGTTTGTTTCTTTTGAAATGTGGCATTGTGATATACATGGGGTTCAGCATTTGACTCTCAACAAGTTGGTCACGGGGGGTGGGGGGAATGTGCTCTCTATAATTCAACGAGTACGAATGGATAATATCATATAACCTTACTCAGTAACCCATAACTGGATATATGGACATTGTTACTATCTAATCAATTTCTTACATATTGAGTTCATAACGGATTCTGACAAAGTTAAACTTTAAGCACTACTAACTACCAATCAGCAAATGACATCGAACGCACCAATCACGTAAAAGAGGCATTTTTGCATATGGAATACATATATTTATTTTTTTAAATGCATAAAAACTGTATGTGTTACAGAGGATACCTTTCTCTCACATGTGATAAAAGTAGCTCTCAGTTTTAGGTTGGAATATCAACAGAGTATAATTCCATTGTGGGTAAAATTTATTTTGATAAAGTCTCCCGGTGTTATACAGTAATATATACTGGGCAAAGTCATCAGTAAATGTTACTGTATAACACTGTGAGACTTCATCAAAATAAATTTTACCCACAATGGAATTATACTCTACCACCACTTTGCACAAGTTCTATTCTTATATCAACAGAGTAATTTAACTGCATTCTATGCATGTAATTATTTAGGTCTTCTAACCCTAACGTGAAAATATTCCCAAACTAACTGTAATCTAACTCGAACCAACCCTAATGTCGCCTTTATTAGGTTAACCTAACCCTAACTTGTCCCTGGCTTAAACCGTAACTTAATTTTTCCCAAACCTAAGCTGAAACTTCACAGATATCCCATTTAATTTAACGTGCTCAGTGAGCGTTTCAAGGTCATCGATGCGGTCGCACCCCATTGGCAGTTAGTGGTGCTTAAAGTTTAACTTCACCCGAATTCTTTGTCATCACTACTTTTACTAACACATTCTGGATATATTTAGCTACAGCCTGATAAACAGTCATCTCTACAGGGCTGCTAAGACATATAACTGAAACTTTCAGTTCAGGAGTGATATGAATGGACACTTTCCTCAAATGATTCATTTATGCAAAATGAATACCTAATCATATTGGAGTACGAACTAAAACATATTCGAAGGTGATCTGATGCATATGAAACTATTTGGCAGTATATGCAGTTAATTAAGAAAGCGAATAAAAATATAAGCAGTTAGGCTTGTAAAATGTCAGGAAATCACGCCGAGGGAATTCAAGTAGGTAGTGATATATTGTGCAGTGAAAAATAATAATAACGGTTCGCTCCATTGCAAAACAGTACTTACGACATAGTTTGTAATTCTCAGTTTTTGGTGCAATAGTGCACCTAATTTACTCAAAAACAATAAAAAAATAAAACATTACTTGGCATATGTAACCAAAATTGATAATAGCAACTTTTTCGCATTAGCATTAACAATGAAGTCAAAAACGTACAACACGTATAAAACAGTAATACTAATAATATTAATAACTAAAATTAGAAAATAATTGAGTTAATAGGACCATAAATTACAAATAAGGGAAGATAAAAGAAGAGCCATTTATTTTGGTAGTTATATAGTCAACTATAAGTTTTACGCTCAACAACACCTCTGCCACAAATAGAACTCCGGTGGGCAAAATACAGTATCATTGAGGTTTTCTACTTAGTTTTCCGAGCATACGAATCTTCCGTAATGACTTCTAACCCTACCTGATGAGATCCAAGGCGGGGAGAGTTGTGATTAGACGAGGTGTTGGGAGTCAGACAGTATGGATTTACACCATTTCTGATATGAGTTCAGATGTCTGTCAATTAAAATAGTAACAAGCTGACTTAGTGGCACAATACTTGCCCTACTGACAACCTTTGAATACCCTTCGTAATGTGACACAGTCCTTTTTAAGTAGCCTGAGGAAGACGAAAATGGATCAATAAATACACAAGATGGTAAGATGTAAGAGTTAACATATTGTAAAAGTAGGGGTTGAGTGATACCTGATTATCTTAACTTCTTAATGTAGGAGGTTAGACGGGACATTTTCTTATAACTCGACATGATATGCGATGAACGACGAAGAAAGGGCAGATGATAGAACTAATCCAAGGGATTTTGTGGTTGCTTAGGCTACATTTTAGTGCTCTGAATGACTGTCTGACTGTTTTTAATGTAGAACTTTGCACAGATGTGCAGCAGCTCAAGTTGCCACTTTCCCTTCATGTAGCAAGAGAAGAGAGTAAGTGGAGGTTCAAAAGACATAATAAACAGAAGTTTGAGGCAAAAAGAATAGTAATATCGACGAACAATAGGATTTCATTGAATATGATAAATCACAGGGAGTGAATGCATCTGCACTACTGTGGACAATTTTAAGCCATATCACGGATTGTTTCCAGGCATTGGTTTCTAATTTTAGTGCTCTCTATGCTGCAAGCATCTTCTGGACGAACAGCTTCATGTACATCACATTTATGCATAAAGGTGAAGTTAACTATCTGGCATTTGGAAGGATTTAAGGTAAAACTACTTAGCTTAGACCACTGACTGATGTCCGACAAAAAGCTATTCAATGTGGAACAGTCAGATTGGGACATAACTGGCAATGGGACAGTTATATCGTCAACACATTTAACAAAGTTGATTTCTTCTAAAAGAGACACGTCATGTAACAGGAATGAAACAGAAGAGAAGAGAGAACAGCACCTTGACGGAGGTAGAGGATAACTTGCTTTGTGTTTACAATATTCTACCTTCCGTTCCAGAAATTGGAATGCAACCACTTAATAGCCCAGCACTCGGTTGACGTGAAAGGAGGCTTATTTAGGAAAAGACATCTGATCTAAGTCAAAAGCGGATGTGTAGTCCAATAAGATACATCGAACATCTTTGGCTCATTTGTCTGAAAATGATACAATGTTATGATGTAAGACGGTAGCGGCATATAATGTACTTTTGTCCTGTTTACATGTAAACTATTTGGTGTCGTTAAAACTTCAAGGAATATTCAACGTTGGGTAAAAGTAATTCCTCCGTTAATTTCCAAAAAGGGGCAATTGCAATAGGTCTAAATTTAACACTCATACCAGTAAATGACTTAAGCACAACGATAATTTTAATGTCTTTCCATGTAACTGTACAAAATTACTAGGAAAAGAAGCATCGGAAATGTTCGTAAGGCGATAACATAAAATTTCCGCACAACCTCTGAGGACAACAGCAGGTACACTATCGGAAGCAAGGCTTTGGGGAGGTCTTAGGGATTTGAAACATTTAAGAACATCAAAACAATTGAAACCGTGGAAATTACTAACCTTACGATTTGTAACATCAGGAATGATAAAGTCAGCAGTAAGGCGTATGAAAGACTTACGGAGTATTTAAGCCAAAAGTGGGAAAAATAGTACTCTGCTAACCACTAGCAGTGATTTCACTTAAAAGCTTCCACATGCTTGAAGGAGTTTTACAGGATAAAAGTCTCTGCTTATATGTAGTACTCAGAATTTGGATTTCACATTTGTTTAAGGTGCTAATCGTTTTTTGAAAAGACGGATTTATCCTTAGACTTGTGTAACCGTTTTTTTCTTTAGGTAGCTTTCTGAGATGAGAAATGGTCAAATCTCTTGAATAGTGTTTGTTTCGAGCAACATGTTGTGGCAGAATATAAGGTAGTCAGTTATGCCAGTGATTGTGTCGCCTAGTATATGTTCAGTAAACAGATCCCAGTTAGTGTCCTTTGACATTCATCTACGATTGTGTACATTGTTCTGTAACATATCAGCCGCGTTTTTCTTTTTGGAAAGGTAAGAGAAGATACTTGTGTATGAATTGCAAAATATTTTAGGTAACACTCGAATGATCGGAGTTCAGTAATGGAGAAATTTTGCGTGCTTCATATATTCCATCATGATTTGTGAACACAATCAAGTGTTTTGCCAAGTGTGTGGAGCCCGAAGTGATGATTTTCTATACTCTTTTAGTCGAATTACAAGAATGACACATTTTGCATCTTTTTTTTAATTGAGATCCCCGTTTAAAAAGACTCTTTGCTACACTCAAATGTACATTCGCTTTGTTGTTGCTGCGTCTACTTACGCTTAACAATTGCTTGCGTGCCAATACTTCCTTTAATGCTTACTTTGGTATTTGCAGGAATCGTCACATCCTAAACCAAAGAGTATTCAACCACCTCTTTGGGAACGTCCACAGTGAAGTCTACATATTTGCCGTACTGATGGATTATGTAAGTTAAATTATGGATTTGAACTTAAACTTAATTGCAGGTAACTGTAACCTAATATAATGTATTTACCTTAGAAACTGTAACATACTGTTTGATGAGTAGCTTAAATAATTAGCCATATCTATTTTGATACGTTACATGATAGATGAGCTTAATGTTTAGTTCATTACAAGTCGAGCAGCAAGGTTGATAATGTCTAAATGACCTACTGATTCAAGGAGAGAATAGTTGCACAAAAGGAAGTCCATGTTCACTATTGACAGAATCCCCACGGTAAGCAGCAGCAACAAATGCAAATTAGTGTGCAGAATTAGAGTAACTCATCCTGACCATTCAGCAACTGCTGAATTTCAATAATTATAGGAGACACAATAATATCCTCACTTAAATCGTAAAATTCTACATTTTATCCCATATCTACTCTTTTTCCCGAAATTCCCACTCACTTATCCCAATAATCTCCCCTTCTCTGTTTGATTAAACCAGTGATTTAACTAATCTGCAGACACTCTAGTGCAAAACTGAGAAACACAATCGTCAAACCTTAGCGAAAGGTATCTTGTGTAGCAGCTTTATGGCTGTATGCTTACTATTTTCATAAATATATGTAGATTATACGTAAAATCGCCTTTTCCATATCACCGTTGCATCCAAGGTAATTTGTGAATTCGCGCTTGAAGCTAAATTTCGCTCCAAAGCCAAATATACTTGTGATTTTTAATAACTTAAAGACAGAGTAAACCGAAAAATCAGTTGGATATGTTCACAGAAAAAATAGATGAAATATTAAACAAATAGAAATAACATCAGCGATGTGGATAGGACGCATTCAAAGTATTGTGTTGGGCCTTAATGACAAACCTCGACTAAACACACTGAATAAAAACGCTACACAAAGTCTTACACATTTTACAGTAAAACACATGTAATAGAAACAAAACCTATATTATAACACTAATCAATGTCTTATTTTCTCTACTTACAAGAAGACACCCAAGAGTCAACTGCCTGGACCAGGAGAGTTGTAGGACCTAAACATTAATGAAGCCCAATAAAACCGTTATACCCTAAAACTATACCCCCGCGCTTTTTTAAAAGTCAATTTCGTGGAATAAACGCTCTCCTGCACAGTTCGTGTTCTGCTTTCATTATCTGTGTGCCTGTTGGTTGGCCTGTTACAAATTGGTGTCGGAGGTGTCCCAAATCCAGTCTGAACATGAAATCAGACTCATATGAACCTCCTGAAATAATCTCCAGCCAGAAAACCAACACACATCTCCCATCCACAGAATACATCTTACCTGTGCGAGTCTGATTTCATGTTTAGACTGGGTTTGGGACACCCCCGACACCAATTCGTAACAGGCCAACCAACAGGCACACAGATAATGAAAGCAGAACACGAACTGTGCAGGAGAGCGTTTATTCCACGAAATTGACTTTTAAAAAAGTGCGGGGGTATAGTTTTAGGGTATAACGGTTTTATTGGGCTTCATTAATGTTTAGGTTCTGCAAATCATGTATCTCCTGGTCCATGCAGTTGACTCCCGGGCGTCATCCTGCAAGTATAGAAAATAAAACATCAATTAGTGTTATAATATAGGTTTTGTTTCAATTACACACATACAAAGTGACGCAGTAACTGTTTGACCGCCAAAACTTCGCATTCGTCCAATGCCCATTACACAGCCATCTGGGCAGAAATTAAACGCCATGTACAAGGTCATTGATGGAGTGAGACGCTCAAAGGTCATTTTCGTCCATGTTAGTCGGCCATGTTGGATTGCAGTTCCGTTGCTGTTCGTCTACACATCGATTTTTCCGTTTATCCAGCAGTTATTCACAACTTATCTTGATGCACATTGTTCACAAATGTTGCGTTTCACTTCATTATTGTTTCCATTTCTGTTGAAATTAGTTATTTCGTTTGTTTCGAAAGTTTTTGCCACCAGGTCAGTGCATTCGTTTCATTGTAATTGTTTCATACGTTGCATTCATGCATGGTTTCAGTGTTTTAATTGTTTTTCAGCTATTAATGAATTAGTACTGTGTAGAAATCTTGGAGATTATACACGTGAACATGTTCGGGAAGCAGAAGCCATTGTTTCCAGTTCATTTTTGGTTGCCGTTATTGCTGCTGGCTCAGTTGGTTACTTAATATGTAGGAATCTGGAAAAAAATGTCTCTCACGTTTATGTTTACAGCATGCAACAATCTACGAATGAATCCGGTGAAGAGAGCACCATCAGGGTTGATATTAGCAAAGTTTTCGAAGAACTAATTAAACCCAGAGAATTTAGAACCTGGTTTGAAGTTTAAAATGCTTTGGAGCTTTTCGACAAGGTGTCTATTGTCAGCTAAAAAATCAGGTATATTGTGAGAGAATCAAGCAAGGGTGAGCCACATGTTAAGTATGAATGTGTGGTGTTTGTATGTACTTTTGGAAGCAAAATTAGGAAGCAATAGGAAATCCCTAAATGCTTGTTAATGCCTAGTGTACTAGATCCAAACGCACGAACTAGGACTGCCTGTAGTAAACGCGGTGTTAACAACCATTTTATTTGTTTCAAAAGGATTTGAAAAGCGGCTAACGTACGATGATCTGTTGAGTGTTCGGTAAGAATTTAACTAGCAAGAATAACGTTTCGAATTTACAACCGTCTGAGAAGCTGATTATTAATCGGGGTGAAAAAATTGGCTGGCTACAAATTGCTTGTTTCAGTTCAAATAATGAAATTCTTATTTTTCGGATGCTTGTGATTTCTCCGTGGTTATAAACACGGTTGCCCATGATTTATAAGAAAACTTTAAATAAATTTTCTTTGAACCAGTGGTCTTCTTTTTCTTGGCGAAGCATCTATTGAGACGATTAGGTAGCAAAGTAGAATGTTTTGTGATTGAGAATCGTAGTCGTTGAGTTTCGGATTTATATCGCGCATCTAATTGCTATAACCCTATGAATAAAGCTTTTTCCTCGTGGTGCATTATGATGTCTAGGAACCATAAGCACACTGCCTTCGATAAATTTGTTTTTACTTTTTAAATGACAGCAAATAGTGAGTTATTTGAGGCGATAGGATAAATACCTCTAAACGCTTTCGAGAAGAGATTAGGATATGTTTATTTTCTCGACTAGGAGACGATCTTTTTACCCAGAAAGCTCTCAGGATGTCCGCTTTTACTTTGTAATTCAAAGATAACGTTGAGTTGCTCACTTAGGTAGTAGCAAGGGGGTAGCTTTAGGTAATGCGTCATAGAAGTAAGCAGTGTATGTCTATTGTGTCTAAATATATTAAACGTTGTAAAGCCGGTCAAATCGTAGTTCTAAAATATGAGTTAGTTTTTTAAAAATGAGTGTACCGTGCTAGCGTTTGTGCTCGAAACGTCATCAGTTAATATGACTGTACAACACTGTCTGATTTATCAAAATAAAATCTTATCCATAATGGAGTTATACTCTACCACAGTGCCCAAGTTTTATACTTATATCAGCGTTTACCTTGGTTTGCATACCTAGCTCACGCATGCGTGTGATATACATTTAAGGCTAATACGCTGTTTGATGAATTAGTCCGAGATACTTAAAGTCAGACTTGAGCTCTATATCACTGTCATCAATTTCGCAACGGTCATAGGAATTAACAGCTTCACCTGACTTTCTCTTACATCGGAAACTGAGATTGACAGTCTGACATTTGGAAGGATTTAGTTTAAAAGCATTTTCTGACCACTAATAGAGAGCTGTTCATCGTAGTACAGTGTAGATGCGAATTAAAAGACACCGAAGTAGTTAGTCCGCGCACTTGACATATTTCATTTCGTATGCGTATGTACATTAAGTTCGTCAAACAAAAATACAATTGGTACTGGACGACTATAATGGAGAAAATGTTGTGATGCAAGACTGCAGCTGCATCTAAATTACTTCTACTGTGTTTATAGGCGAATTATTTGAGTTCGTTAAAGGCTTTAAGTGAAGGTTGAAGATTAAGTAAGAGTAACTTTTCCATAGCTTTTACAAAAGGGGAGGTAATAGCAATAGGTCAAAATTTAAAACATGTTCCATTAGACGACTTAGGTACAGGTACAATTTTAAAGTCCTTCCAAACGGCTGGCACAACATTTCTGGAAAAAGATTCATTAAATATGTGAGAGGATATCTGTACATTTTTGAAGAATAAGGCTAGGCAAACAATCTGGAACTACAAGAAGGGTTCAACGACTGGTGACATTTTAGAACGTCATTTAATAATAATAATTTACTTTATTCCAAAAACAGTACTTGTGATACAGAATGGAAATTTCAGCATTAATCACAAAATTGCATCTAATTTCCTCAATTATAAATAAAATTAATCACACAGAAAATTTTTCTGCATTTACAATAGGGTTAATATAAAAAAATAAAAAACATGCAGCATATAAAATGGAAATAATAATAATGATAGCAGCTAAGGTAATGATAATAATACAAGTGGAAATTGCCGTGGGCTTGTTTCACACAGTATTGTCGATGCGGTATACAAATCCTTGCATGATTAAAAATATTGAATATGATGTTCTCTTTACATGATATGGTGAGGGGAAAAACAAAGATTACAGCAGTCATAGAGATAAGTTGGTGTTTGCAGTTATGAAAGTGAAAACACCGCAGTTGTTGATTATAGAAATGATGGATATTAGATAACATCACATGATTCAACGGCATATTAGAAATAGATGAAAATTGTTTCTTTGCTCACTGTCAAGTTAACAGTCTATTTGACGATGTCACTGCATATTAACAGATTAGTGAAGTAGCTGTCAAGCCTAAGTCATTAAATTTACTTGTACTTCATACTTGGCGTTTAACAGTGTACAGAATTGCAACTGGCTAGATAAGGCGATTTTAGCGTATCGAACAGTACAGAATTATTATTTAAATTGCTAAATCTTACTTAGTTTTTACAATGTGCTACTGTATAGAAACAGACACGAAATCTTACGAAGGGCTAAAGTAACAGTCTCATAATACTATAGTAAATCTCTATCCCTCTAACTAAGCTTAACATGCATTGATCCGAATTCACTTATTACAAAAGCACATAGTATAGCGACGCACTGAAAAAGTCTAGAGGAAGTAGAATTGAAGAGTATATTAAACATTTCATTAATTTACAAAAGAAAATCCCGATGAAGAGTATTAACGTTAGTTTGACCGAATGATATTTCCGCTGGTTTCATATTCGACAACTTCCGTATACCTGGAAAAAATAAAGCACATGTAAGGACTAACACAACATGAATTTATGAAAGATAATTCTACATATTAGCACACACTATGAATACACTGATTCTGTTAATACTAAGTAATATCTCATGCAAATAAATGTATTTGTAGTCCATAGCTTGTTTTTACATTGACACCGTATGCACCAATAGACCAATTATGTTTTCCAGTATTAGAGGATTATACGCAAATTTCAAGACAATATCTGAAGCATCCATACTGTTGAGGCGTCATACTCTCATTAACTTTGGTTGCAGATCAACTTCACACTAAATACGTTTACATTAAATGAAGTATTGCAAATGTGTAACTTAGAAATTGATCTATAATCTCAGTAATGTCTAATGAGCAAAGTTTTATGAATCCTACAGAAATTATACTCTCACATTAAGGAATCTGTAGCCATCAAATATGAGCTGAACATGGTTCAACTCTAAACAGCTATGCACAGTGTTAGCAGCATAGAGAAATACTTGAAATATTTTAAGATACGCAGACCTGTTGCGTTGATAAGGATAACAATGACATATAATGCAACTTAAATTTTCAGTCGTGATGCGGCATCTGTACTGCTTCATGTTAATGGAAAATTCAAGAAAAATTCATCACCACTATCGGTAATCAAAAACATTGCAGCGTCAAGTTTACAGTGCCAG